TGTGTGTGTGTGTGTGTGTACAGTATATATAATGTATGAGGTGCTGTTATTGTATGACAACCCAGTGACAAGGATGCCTACAGCGCCAGCACAACGTTATGATGTCGTGCACGCCTACCTGATCTGATCAAGGCGGGTGAGGATGAAGTGAAAATGTCAGTGATGTGGAAGTTTTTTAAAGTGTCAGAAACTGATAGCAGAACTGCTATTTGCAATGACTGCTCAGTGTCAGTGATGCGAGGAGCGAAACGAAGTCCTACATCACTTTGAACCTAATTAACCATCTCAAGGAGGGTTAGAGAGAGTAAATGTTATGAATAAATTTAACTTTAAACATAATCCAAGTTGAAGTGTTACATAATTTTCTGCTCCTTTTTGACATCTGCATTTGGTAGCAGCCAAAGTGACAAAGCCCATGTAGAATAATGTAGTATTTTAATTCCACAGCAGAGAAAGCTATGTAGTCTCTGTAAGTAGGTCCAGGGGGGAAAATATCGGTATTGGTATCAATTACCAACTAAATAAGTTTTAACATATTGGCATATCGGCCAAAAATCAATATCATGCATCCCTATTTTTATTAAAGATCATTGGCTGCTGTTTTAACCTGGCGTATAACTGTTTGTAGACATTTATGCTCCTCACAGGGTGAACCTCATACAAAGTGTATTTTTTCCTCCTTCACACCATTTTTATAATTTGTTTTGGTGCTATGGTTTAGAATCAGAATAAGCTTTATTATCATTGCACCGAGATACAACGAGAACATGTACATGCAGTCGTCTGGAAGATGGACGTAGTGCACGAAGCTGCTGCTGTAAGCGCGGCCTCTCTTATCCTTTTTCAGAATAATAATCTTAGATAGGAAAAGGGGGAGAAACATGAGGGTAGATAGTGGTATTACAAAAAAAAGATCTTTCACATCTTGTCTATCAGGACACAGTTTGAGACATCAAAAAATAGCGATAGATGAAGCTTTTGTCCTTGGTTACCCATGACCCAGGAGAAATTTGATAGTCGGCCCATTCCGAGGCCGTCGGGGAGTCAGATTCAGATAAGCTTTGATTGTTGATTTTCTTCAGGCAGACAGATTACTGTTTTCTTCAGCCTTGAGTCCATCTGGGCGTTCTGGTTCCAAAATGCCTAATTGAGGGATTCCATTCCACTGATCCATGCTATGAGTCTCCCTCAATATCGAACCCACCACACTGACGAGTCCCAGAAGCCGCAGGTGGCCTGTGATTCTCATAAACCGCCTCCACCGTACGGTTTAGCTCATAAACCAGTTGATTTAGAGTTCCCACAGCACGGACCAAACCTTCACACAGACTCGGAAGCTTTTCCGTGGCCGAAACTGCTGCCGACGTCTTCTTCAAAAGTCGATAAAACAGAGCCCCCCCCCCCCCGATGCCAAAAAGCAGAGTCCCTGCTATCATAATTCCAAATATGTAAACGTCTTCAACATCCTCCTGAGACAGGACTGAGAGACACATCAACTGCCACACTCCCCACGGGTCCATGACGTACCCCACAGCGTGAGTCTCAGCTGGACATGCAGGTTCTCCAGGACCTTGTTGCTTTGATGAAAAAATCTTATCAATAAGAGTTGAATGTCCAGGATACCAGATCCATAATCTTAATTTATGTTCGGGAAATGTGAACCAGGCGCTTCAGACACACAGAGAGCAGAGCAGGAGGAATGAAAAACGGGGGAGGAAAGACAGAAGCTGCCACCTCGATCAGAGCCAGGGAGGAAAAGAAAGTAGTAAAAAAAAATGTTAGTAGCTGAGAACCAAATTTACATGAAATAAGAATGAATTACAGACGTTATTTATGGCTTCGGATGTACATTGTGTACTACGTTGTACACCATAAATGGCTGGAAGAAAAGTTGCTCAATTCTTTTGGCACCTCATCCGGAGTCGTTCGATGGAATATAATTAACTTTGGGTTTCGTCTCAGACATATTCTGCATTCTGGCCCAGATATCGATGTTGTTCTTCTTCAGTCTGTAACATTTTGTTTCCCGCCTGTCGGGTCACTTAGTCTGGAATGAAAGTGAAGCGTTCACACTGACTGTGCACCGACAGCAACATGTGAGAGTTTTTGTGTGTTCTCAAAGCGATCAGTAACCAGAGACCTGACGACAGGTCAGGTCCAGCTCCACTGCAACAGGACACCTGCCGTTCAGACGCACCTCTTTCATTCAATTCATCGCTGTTAAACGTTTGAAGAGTGACTAATGTACAGTTTATACAGCTCACGTTGTTTAGATTTTCTGTTTATGCAGATATTAAAATGTTTTAATGAAATAAATATATATAAGAAATGTTTTGTTTCTTATGTTCCAGACTACGGCGGTTCATCCACAATGAAATACAGCACCTACAGCCCAAATTTCAGCTCCAAATCGTCCTATATGTACACAGGCTCCAAAACAGTGGTGAGTAATGCAGTATTATCTAATTTATTATTTATATATTGTGGAATTTGATTCCTCTGTTTTATTTCAATGCATGCTTGAGAAAAATAAATAAATCACCATCTCCAGCTTGTGTCAAGCAGGACACGGCATGTGTGATATCTGACAGTCAGCTGTGAGTTTTCATGTCCACCCTGGACATTCCCATGTTTCAGTGGTGCCACAGAAAAACACGGACTATGTCCTGGAGATTTGAGCACACGTTACATTTTAGACCTCTGAGCTTCAGCCATGACTCACTTGTCACTTGAAAACTTTTTTGTGCAGTGAAATGACTCACAGCCATTTCCTCTTTGCACACTGGATCATATTGTGTAACTCTAACTGTGCACGATTAATTGTGTCTGTTATGCCCGTCTCTATCTTCAGGGTCCTCGCATGTCTCAGAGGCAAGACTTCAGCTGCCGCTCTGCAGCCCCAGACCTGGTCCACTTTCAGAGGATGAGTGTAGGGGGAGGTGGAGGGGGAGGCGGCGGCGGCGGAGGTTATTACCAAGAAGAAGTACGTACGGGCGGCTACCAAGGGAGTGTGAGACAGCAGAACAGAAGGGACAATGACTCCATGTCCATGCATTCGATGCGAAACGCGCCTCCGGTTTCGTCCTGGGGGTTTGATAACAGCGATGCAGGCAGCCTGGTCTCCGATCGGGACGCCACCTTCGCTCGTCAGTACTCTCAGAGCGCAGTGAATGGCTTCGGTGGACAAGTGAGGCAAGGAGGAGGCACCATGATGGCCCAGCAGAACATGATCCGATCTCAGAGCGGCACTCTCACTCGCAGCAGCGGGATGATCGGAGGAGGTGGAGGAGGTGGAGGAACTGAAGTATTCCAACAGCAGCAGTCGTTTAAAGGCCCGGCCTTCCGCACAATCAGCAGGATCACAAACCGGAACCGGTCCAGCGTTGGCTCCATGTCAGGGAACCAGATGACCTCAAGCGCCAGCAACATGGGTGGCGGAGGAGACAGAATGGACGGGGGGTTCGTGATGTCGACATTGAGCGGTTCTCAGGGGAACCTCATGATGCCTCGTCAAGGAACCATGACCCGCAGCATGTCAATCAAAAGCATGCAGAGTGTCGGCAGGGGCATGGACATCTTCGGTGGGCAGATGGACATGGGCAGCATGGGCAACCTGAGCGGGTGAGGAGTTACTCTGCTCAACCTTTTACTGCAAGAAATGACCGAATATAAGTGTTTAACCCAGTGTGCACCCATCATAAAGATAAAACAAAAAAACTTTTCAAACATACAAATAAAACAAGACATTGGAGCAACAAGTCCTCTCACGATGATGGTCAGTGCTGTAAACCCTCAGCAGAAACACCAAATGTGTTGCTGTAAATATTCCACCACAGCCCAGATGTTTTAGAACATTGTCTAGTCCTTGTAGAAAGACAGACAGACGTTACTTGAGCCTGTCAGTGTGACAGAACCCTGCTCGTTCTGATGATTCGGTCTTTGTGCATTTTCCTGTGTGTTGGCGACTCCAAAGCAGCAGGACTGGTTTAGGTTCAGGGTGTGGCAGTTCAGTTTAGGGCGTCACATTTCACACATCCCATAATGAGCGGTTAGGCGTGTGGATTTGCAAAGCACTGAAAAAAAAAAATTTCATTGTTGATTTTTGGACTAAATCTTTAGTGTTTAAGTGCCGTGGCTGCTGCTGTCCACAGACACATTTTGTATGAAATCTGAACAGCATGGCTGGTCTGATGATTAGATGTTCGAGATTCAATGTTTTGAATTTGTTCATCTTGACAGGATCAATAACATGAATATGGCAGAAGCAGTGCAATACCTGAGAGGGGACGACCCTAATTTGCAGGTCCTGGGGGCCGCCTACATTCAGCATCAGTGCTACAATGAAAGCACGGCCAAAGAGGAGGTACGTTAAACAGATTCAACTTGTGGTTTGAATTCCTCGCTCCGCTCTGCATTCCTTTACAGAGCGGCTCAGCCATGGAAAATGTTTTTCTTCAAGGGTTGACAACGATTGATTGATGTCTCACCATTTGTGGGAACACTAAAGACACCATAGACTGTAAATTGGTAGCTTCACCGTGTTATATAGTTCATCACCCTGTTTGTGTTAAACCGTCTGGAGTTTTCGCCTCCTTCAGCTCCTGGACGGTCATGTTTGTTAGTGAAGTAGACTGAGCAAATAGAAATTTTGTTTTTAAGTTAAGCTCTTTCTAAAACGACTCCCAAACAGCACGGAAACACATAAAAGAGCAGAACTTTGGCTTTTTAAACTCACACCAGCCGTGCAGTATTCCTTAAAGGATCGCATATCACCCATCACCTTTCATGCCACAATTTTCACAGAGATCATCCTTTTGTGCTGAAAAATGGCTGTTCTAGCCACTTTGCTATGTTTGCTATGCTTTGTTATAGCCAGTCATCAAGCACTCTCCATCCAGCTCACTCTCTTGTCAGACACAAAAAATGTTCGTATAACTTGAGACACAGTAGAGAGCATCATCAGCCAAAGTACAAGTTTTTAAAAGTTTTTCCCTGCCACTGTCAGACTGATGGCAAAACAAACTACTGATCAGGTGCAATAATAACCCCACACCTAACTCCACTTGTCATGTGACAATAGGAAGGTGTAGAGAGCACTTTACTCTTTTTTTATATTTACATGTATTTAGTGTTTCACTGTTTCGACTATCAACCAACCTTTATTTATACAGGTAAATCCCATTGAGCCTCGAGGACTCATTTACAAGAGAGACCTGATTTCAACAAAGAAAGATGACAACAATGGACAACAGCAACAACAATAAATAATTATAAAAAAGCATACTACAGTTTTTTTTTTTTTTTTTTTTTTTTTAACAAATAGGATGGCTAAAAGGAAAAAGGTAACAAAACAAAAAAACTGCTAGATTCCAAGACAAATGTAGAAAACTAAAAACAGGAACATGTCTGCATTGGACCCTGCCAGGAGTCCAACAGATTCTTAAAGACACTTAGAGAGGTCAAGGTCGGGAGCTTCAAATCTTTTTGTAAGATATTCCAGGAAACAGGAGCGGAGTAGGAGACTATGACTGAGAGTTCTGCACAACAATTCCTGTGTGCCTGGATTGTTGGTCTGTGCACAAATGGCAAATACAAAACTTCGTACCTTTGATCAAATGTTGAAAATAACATTACATGCATTGGCGTCAGAAGCATTTGTAAAGTGGGGGGGGGGATCCTCCCCGAGAAAATTTTGAATAAATAGATGCCATTTCCTGCATTCTGGTGTATTTTAACGTGTGGTTAGACATCTACATTTACCTACATAAGTAAACACTTGATTCAATAACTATGAGAGCATGGTATAATGCTGTCTCCCCCCGTTACCCCCCAGTTGACAACTTCCGGCACCAACGTAATGCTAAGCTAGTGCCACACAATACAGACGCGCTAACTAAGATGCTTCAGATGTACCGCTTCACTTCTCTCCACATCCTAAGCCCCCCCCCCCACAACAACTGCCCACATTAAAGTGGCGCTAAGCTAGCATGCAACACAAAGGTATCTCCCCCTCCTCCCCCTGCCCCATCAAGTGACCTCGGGAAACAGCATGTTTTGGAGTTGTAGGTAACCAGGAAAACCCGGAGTGGACTTTTAGTGGTTTGAGTATTCTGTTAATCAAGTGAAATGGATTCGTTCATAAAGAAATAGAAAAGGTGGTGGGTGAACTAATCGTGATCAATAACCCTGGTCAACTCCAAAACTTAATTTCAGTCCCAGGCCTCCCTTGCAAAAGAGATCTGTGGTCTCAATGGGATTTGCCCGATTAAATAAAGTTTAATAAATAATCATTTGTGAATGTGCATCCAGTTAAAATCCATTAAATGTTCAATGGTTTACTGGATATTTTGCTAATAGACAAACCAGTACAAAGACACGCAAAGGCAAATAAATGACTGCCTGCCTGTAATGGTGGCAGACAATAATCAGTTCTCATCATTAATTTAACATGAGTCTGACCTGACTGAACAGCAGAGATTAATACTGACGTGAGAAACACTCCTACAATAGTTTAGTCATTTTTGTATTTTTATGTGTCATTTTGTAAATGTGTCATTTAATGTATTTCAACAAGTCTCTCTTTGTGAGCTGATTTAATTAACTATCAGTAAAAGGAATAAAAAGAAACGTTTTGGAGGATGGAAACACTTTTAATTTTGTTCTGAATCAGAAAGGAGTCATAGCACTCAGCTCGGTTTATTTCAGCTTTTACTTTTAGCACCTTTCAAGATATTAACGTATTTTAAAGCATCTTATAAGACAAAACCAAGCCTCAAAATACAGGCAAATTAATCTAATGTAAAATATAAGAATAAACTTGTTTTAAAATATATAATTACAGTGTTAATGAAAGGGTAATAAGATAAATAAAAGCAAATAATTGTTCTAATTTATGCTTGAATTGAGTAGCAACCTTTCAGAAATATTGAATAGTCAATATTTAAACTAAACATAATTTCATTTTGTTTTCTTGTAAACGAAAACGTTATTTCTCATGTGTGAATTTAGCATCTTCTTGTGTTTTAAATAAAGAATAACTTCCCTCTCTGCTGCTATTTAAATTTATTTTTAAGGTGCGCTACCTTGAAGGCATCGTTCCACTGGTGGACCTGTTCAATAGCGACAACCAGGAAGTGCGGCGTTATGCCACTGGTGCCACACGCAACCTCATCTTTGAGAATAAGGAAAACAAAATGGCCCTGATCGAAAATAACGGTATTGCAGAGCTGGTCAAGGCGCTCAACCAGTCGGATGAGGAACTTCAGAAGAACATCACAGGTAGAAAAATGCTGATCTTGGTAGTTTAAACTGTAAAAGCATTTTCGGCGTAAGAGTAGCAATAATCTTTATATATATATATATATATATATATATATATAAAGATTTGCAGTCATACCAAAAGTGAATGGACTCAACAACAAAATGAGGCACTCAAGTTTCACTGCTGTAAAAAAAAAAAGACTAAACTGGTTATCTAGGCAAGGTGACCTTCAGAGTGTCCTTGAAATTCTTACAGTAGCCTTTGAAAATGATCTTACTCAGACAAAAAGGAGAACACTGAAGTGTGTGCGTGCAGTGAGAGTAGGAGGTGGAGCTGCTGTCATTTCCACAGTGTTCATGTGTGAGCATAAGGGCGTGTAGATGAGCTGTCTGGGCCTGTTGACAGGATTACCACTGCTCCTTTTCCCCCTTTATCTGTTTCACCTTCATTTGTTTCTGTCAAATGAGCCCTGACCTCAAAAAGAAGATCTGGCAAGGTGATAAATTGACAGCGTCCATCTGTAAATTTGAATCTGATCACTTAAGAAACACTGGATCCTGTCCATCTCAACCGATTTGTTCAGATCTCCTGTTAGTCATTGTTCAAGTTGGCTGATGGGATTAATATGAATCTCTGTCTGACTTCTACATATAAAGCAGCAAATTAAAAGAGGTGTGCAGGTTCTTTGAGTGGCATGCTGTGGTGTTGATAGTAGTAATCAGTATCTTACCTGCAGTAGAAATCCCTCAAAGCTTCATCAGATGGGAATAACAGGAAGATGTTTTCAATGGGGAGATGATGTCCAGTCCTGGTCCACGAGAGCCACTATCCTGCATGTTTTACAAGTTTTTTTTGGCTCCAACACACCTGATTATTTAATTACCTCTTCAAGTTTTGCAGAAGCCTGCTAATCACTTATTTGTTTAAATCAGGTGTATTGGAGGAGAGAAACATCTAAAACGTGCAGGATAGTGACCCTTCAGGACCAGGATTGGACACCCCTGATCTAATGGTCAATGTCTTAAAACAACTCCATTCTCAAAAACATCAAAGCAGTTAAATCAGATGTGTCGTCTTTTTTGCATTAGATGTTTTTATGTAGATGTTTATGTTGAACTATAGGCTCCATTACCAGTAATGGTCCCTGTGAATTTTATGTTGCAAAATGGAACTTGCTAGATGTAACCAGATGATGTAACTATCTGAGATAAGAATGTATGAACGTATGAATGAATGAATACAGTCTGTTTCGCAACGTGAGCTTCAAATAAACCACTGGTGGTAAGGGGCTGCAGAAGACTTGTCCACAACCCTAGGCTTGTTTGTAAATAATCAAATGCCAAAAAGCCAGTGGTGTACAGGTTCATAAACCAAGTTTGCATCATCTACTAAAAGCTTTTTGAGATTGGAGCTATTTTAAAATGGCAGAAATCCACTTTAGTCATGGCCACACTTAGACTAGCAGTTAGGCTGTCTTCCCTGAGAGAACATCTGCCTGATCTTCTATGTGTCAAACTCAAGGCCCGGGGGCCAAATGTGGCCCTCATTGACATCTTATTTGGCCCCCGAGATGATATGTGAAACGTAAAATACTTTTAACTCTTGAATTGTTTCAGTAATCTTTGATTATGATGTCCATAGCACAACAGAGAACATCAAATGAGACCAATCAAACTCTTGCTGAGGAACCTGTGACCAAGAAAAGATGTTGGGTATCTGATTTAGTTAATGTAGATCCTGAAATTGGCCCTTAGTTTGAAAAAGGTTTTAATTATGGCCCCTTTTGTACGTGAGTTTGACACCCCTGTTCTAAACTGATAAAGGTTTGAGCAATTAAATTGCAGATAAATTGTGAGAGATTCACGTCCTAGAAGAGACTGTGAGTGCTGCAAAGGATGGAGGGTAACCTTGTGGGAATTGTGTGTGCAATGTGTCTGACTGTTTACGATGTTTCTGACAGTTTACGGTGTTTCTGACAGTTTACAATGTTTCTGGCAGTTTACGATGTTTCTGA